TACTTTGTAATATTAGGTGCTTATATCTTTATTTTCTGCATGTTTTCTGTTATGATACATTTAACAAAAGCGATATTTCTTTCCGGTTCGATAATTTTTCTAACAAATTATTCCGATTTGTTTAATTATTTTGCGTAAAATATTAATACATATATAAAAAATATGCAACTGCGATAACAAAGCTAAAAAATAACTTTTTCAGTTGTTTTCTCACTTATGGAGAGGTTCCGAACAGTAGTAAAATGCAGCAGCAAAATTATTTTTTATTTATTTTTAATAAATTGACTGTTTGGTTTACCATACGCTGTTTCCAGTATTGCCAAATACTCAAATATTTTTTCATTTATAAAATATTTTAGGTATTTTATTTTTAACTTATAAAGAAACCATAAATCTTATTGTTTTAGTGTACTAGTTTTAATTTTAGTATGTATTTTTCGTTGAGTACTAATAATTTATTGAAATACAAACGGAAGCTTTTATATAGCATTCCAATACATAGCCTAAAAAATAGAGTTAACAGAGCTGACATTAATTTGTGTACATCTATTAGAATATAATATCAAAGCTAATTGAACCAAAAAATAAACTTAAAAAGGTATTTATTTATTATTCAGTACGAAGGGTATTTTCATCATATAAAATTTAATATTTATGTACATATTTACGTCGTAAAAATATTCAGTGTAATTTGAAAATTTTGTTCATAGTTTTAACGACAAAATAGCAGCGGAAGTCTAATAAATTTCCGGTTTATCATTTCCTGTTAACATTTTTTGAGTAAAGAAATTTTAAAAATAATGAATCAAACAAATGGTTTGAAATATTGTCAATTTATTTTCGTTACTAACAGTGCAAAAATCATAAGTAAATTGAGCAGGAAGTTTAATTTTTTCCTCAATTAAGATTTTTTTTATATTTTATAATTGTTATAGAGAAGTTTTAATATTAAACATAAAGAATATATAAAGAATATAAAGAGTACTAATAAAATTTTTTAAATATAAGTGACTTTAATTGCTTAAATTTAAATGAGTAATTGTGTGAGGAACTTTTAACGCTCAAATCAGCTATTCCATTAACTCAATTGCCATCTTAGTATATTATTTTTTGAAGTAATTTATTATTTATGAAACACTAGTCACTTACGTTATCTCATTTCTATAAAACAGTTTCGAAGTAACCATTCACAGCCAATTACAAATTATAAACCGGCAGCCCCATCCCAACAATTAGCTTAGAAACTTGTTCCATATAAACAACCTCGTGAACATCTTTATAAAGAGTTCTCAAATATTATACGCTACTTAAGTTTAAGTGGTTTCAGAGGTGTTTAATAGTTTCGAGTGTACTCTTATTATATCAAAGCAATTGATTTGTTTAGTATATGAAAGTATGTATTTAAAACTAAACACTTATATTGTCAAAGTTGTTCTACTAATTATGAAAAGGGCTAATTAATGAGTTAGTCAAAAGAAAAGAGACTGATTTTAACAGTGTACTATATGGGCAATATTTCTAATATCGTCAATAGACAATTTTCGGGAGAGCACCACTCTTAATTAATGTATTATTTTGATCACAAATTAAAAATATCTTAAATATTGCTAAGAAATGACAATATGTTAAATATTTTTAATAACTAAATTAAAAGTTTAATAAAATTTTTAAAGTGATTTTAAAATGAACATAATTTATAAAAAGCGGTTGGTAATGATGAAATTTTCAAATCCAAAAAGTTTTTTAATTTTTAATCAAGTGAATTCTTGATCTTCTCATAAATTAAAAGTAATTTTAAATTCCAGTTTTATATAAATTGTATATATATAATTGTATTGTATTATCATTTTATTTACATAAATCTGTGTACAGTGATTTAACCATAATTTGTTAGTAGCTAACAAACGAATAATTTTCAAATACAGTGAGTGCTTGCATTCACGAGTGAATATCTGAGAACTCTAAAACAGAACATATAATTTAAGTCAGTAAATGAAAAAGTAAGTAGCTTATAAGCTTGTAAACTAAAAACGCCATGAAAAATAAAGTTATATATATTATATACATTGGAAAATTATATTTTGGCAGTAGTATATTTTGACATAAAAATTGACTTTAATTGAATTGAGCAGAATAAAGTTTCAAATTAAATTCTTAGTAATAAAAATGTTCTTGAAAATTAATTATTCGAAAATATTAACAATATTCTATAAAAAAATAATTTTATTTTTATTTATTTTTATTTTTATTGTTGGAAAATATAACCCTATTGCTTTTTATCAAGCACGAAATACCGTCAACTGGCTGGTAGCAACAATAGCGTCATTGTTGGTAGGAAAAATAAACTTATAAGTACTTAGTACAATATATAGACCCATGGCTATTTAACACTACTGTTAAAAATTAGTAAATATTTAATAAAAGCTTGGCAAGTTACAGAATAATTGCTGATCTTAGCTTCTGTATTTGTTTGTATACGAGAAAAATAGTTTAATAATAATTTCTGTATAAAATTGAAATATATTTACATATTTAATTTTAAATAATTTATTAGATAGTATAGATATAACTATAAACCTTAATCAATACTTGTTCCATGTGAACCGTATTTGACTTATTTTATTAAAAATTATTAATTTATTTATATTAAACGTATTTACCAGACTTAAACAAGCATTAAAAATAAATAAGTTAAAGTAAATAAATAAATATTCTTCAGTAAAAACGTATAATATTTCCGCAGTGTATTAGTTTCATGTCTGAAAAGGATATTCGAATTTATTCAAAACCCTCAATAACCGCAAATCAGTATGCATTAAATGCAGAAAAAATACATTATGTTGGGTACGTGAAGCTGGCAATACGGGCAATATGCAATTTCAATTCTGCATTGTTGTTTAATGCCTTAATATAAACCTATGGTATTCGCAGTTGGTGTGCTATGTATAATAATTTAAGTTCATAAATATTTTAATATTTTTTGCATCGAAACGTAAAAACTTCATATGAGCAGCCACCGCTTTCACATTCATGGCATACATTTTATTAAGAAAAATTCACTATTGCAAAAGCAACAACATAGTTATCAAATAATATTTGTATATATAAACAAATATAAAAAATATCTTTTATTATAAAACTGAAGGAGAATTTATACAAACTTGGGAACGTGATATACCATATATTAATTTTCAAGTTAAAAAAATTTTATGTTTTATTTACTTTATATTTTTTTAGATTCGAAACAACAAACCTTTACCAATAACTAATAGAAGCGTAGATAACGACTTATCCACAACTCTTGATGATACTCACTTATCCTATAAACTATAAAATAGTATTAACTTTAAAGTTCAGAACATATTTTATTACGATTTTTTTATAATTTTATTATTGTTTGTTTGATGGGTATTGAAAAGTTTTCAAAATACAAATTTATTTTATATTCTATTTTTTAAGTAATAGGCTATTAAAGCACCCCGACCTAAAACATCTATTGTGCGTGATTGGTGTGGGCTTAATTTTACCTATTTGACTTGGGACTAAGATCCCGCTTCCATGGTAATCGAGTCTACGTCTTGCCACCACTGGGCAGTTGCATAGAACATGTTCTGATGTTGCCTTCTCCTCATGGCAGAGTCGACGGGAGTCACTTTCTACCACATCTATAAACTTCATGTGGTGATTAAGTCTACAGTATCCTGTAAGAAGTTCAGTTTAGGCCAAGGATAGCATCAATTTTGATGTGATCAGAACCAAGGGTTATTTTATATAGAAAGGTTTCGAAAAGTAGTAAACACTACAACAATAAAAATTCTTGTTATATTATTTTATTTAATTGAATTTTTGGTTGACCATGTAGCTATTTTGAGTATTGTCAAACAACCATCATCAGTGGTCTTGGAATTATTTCTTGTATTTAGTCGTAAATAAATTTTATGTTAGAAATTATTTACGAAAACTGACAGACTTATCAACATCGCGTTATCGAATCTCAGAACGGTAACAGGTTCCTCGAGGAGATATGCAGTTCTGAACTCAATTATTGCTTAGTCTGATGAAGTGATAAACAATAATCCGCAGAGAGAGGTTATGAAGAAACCTCGCTGTTAATAGAGAGTAAAAGTGCTCAAGTGCACTGACTCAAATAGCCTCAACATAATAATGAAGAACATAATTATTCAAATGCAGTATCGTTTGCCTGTACAAATGTAGTTTTAGTTTTTAGTTTTTCAATTATATTCAACAATTTTATATAATCTTCGCAATTCATTTTATTAATAATTTTACCAATATTGACTTAGTCATAACCAGCAGAGAGTAACAAAGTCCTTCAAGAACAAACAGTAACACCAAAATCGTCTAACAAATAGAGTTGAACGCAATTGAGTTAAAAGCACAGTAAATTATTGCTTTATACACTGAGTGAAAGTTGGCCTTACTGACAAGTAAATGAATAGATACAATTACCAGCAGAAATAGATAACAGAAATACTGACTAATTGACACAATACTTCAACGATACTTCAATGATACTTAACACATACATTTTCTTGACATTCGCTTGTCAACGTCACTTAATATGACAACCTTTACAGGAGCATATGTCCACTTTACTTATGTCTACTTAAGTGGCACTGCAATAATGTGGTGTGGACATAGGTAACGCCTGTGCACTGAATGAATTATAAGGTATAAAAGGTATGTGAAGTACAAGCAACTAAAATACAATGCTGTGAAATCATTAGGGCAACAACTGTCATACACAAATATTTTCGCAAAACTAATCATTTCATTCAGACAAAGATAACTAACTATTTAGCAGCTTAAGTGAAGCAAATTCTCTTTTAATTAATGTGCAATTAGTTGCAATTCTATATCTGTATTTTAAGTTTTGCTTCAATAATGAACATGTGTATATAACACATATTAGTAATCATTCATTACTTAATAGAGAACTAAATTTTCAATTTGAATACATGAGTACATTATGCGTTATTGGATAGTAAAATCATTGTAGCATTTAACTATATGATATACATTATTTAAAAGTTGTATCTATAATATAACAATGCGTACATGAAATTCTTATAATATAACAACGAAGTGATGTGTAAATATAATATGTATATATATAAACATTATTTAGTATTATTTAAGAAAATGTTTAAGATTAGATATCTAATTGGAAGTACCATGTTTTCTGACAGTAACTTAAATTAATAGTAACTTAAATTTGGTTAGTTAATAGATAGGTATCTACAATTTCATTTCGTTGTGTTGAACAACTAATGAGAATAATATCGACATTTAGTTGTACAACGGTACAACTGAATTGTAGACATTAACGATTACTGATTCAATTTTATTAACAAAAATTTAACAATACAATGCACAATATTATTCAAACACCATTTGAGACAAAATTAATTGTATCTAAAGGCTTCTATGATTTAACAATTTGACGACTAAATATTAAAAAAAACTTTAAGCAATTTAATTAATAGTACATTAATTTAATTTTCTTTAGTCTTCAATAATAATTTTTAAATCCTCACAAAAAAGGAGTTTAGATATGTATCTCTTCTACTTTTACTCATACCTATATGCTCTTCTGTCTCTACAAGATGATTCTCTTGAATCAGTCTTTTCACACTGAAGAGAGTCATAGAGTCATAGAGACGCTTCAGATAAACTGCTACAACTTTAGGTCCTTACTATTGAGAACAGACACCTTATTAAAGTTGTATGGATGGATCAGCTATGACATTTATTAATAACAATCCACTTTTCTCTCAAAATCTTAGTTGAGCACCACTTTATTCCATAATAGAACTCCACACAATTGAATGATAAATGCATCTTTAGCAAGATTATTTGCAGTTCAATACCATGGATTCCCATGTGACTATATAACCAGCAAGCAATATTTTCTTTTTACTTGCCACTTGCTATAGCATTTCGTAGTAGTGGGCCAAGATTCTTGAAAAAATACTTATTTAGTAAAATCTAAATAATGAATAATGTAATTTCTCTCATACAAAAAATCTATACGAAAAGGTATATTTAATAACAATATATGAATGCAGTATAGATGGACTAATAAAATGTCTGATTTTACTGAAAAGAAAGATGGACATTAAAAAATATTTTTGCAATAATCATGAATCCGAATTCTACTCAATGCAATTATATGTAATGAAAAACATGTGTTCAAAGTATTAAGTTCTAGTACCATCTACAGTATACTCGCATAGACAGATGGCTTAGATCTATCACATATTATTTTTAAACACCATAAATATCCATTTGATAAGTTTTGTTCATTAAATTCCAGTACTAAGTGCTTACATGCAGTTGAAAACAGGGTTTCAAATTAGAATTTTTTCCATATCAGTTTTCGTTCCGATTCAAAAAAAAAAATATATATTGTTTCGGTTCCGGTTTCCGCTCCGACAAAAATATCGGTATTTTCCATTTTCAGTTCGGTTCCGGTTCGAAGCCTTAGTTGAAAATCTCAAATATCTGGGCAGTAAGACAAACAAACGAATTTTAATGTATCTATTCATCTGACCTAATAATCACTTCATTGCCTCTATAATGCCTACTATAGTATGTTACAAATATCTTAACAAAATTAATGTATTCTTTTCATATAAGTGAATAATGTACATTAAAAACGTTAAAACGTGCTATCACCTTTTTGTTCGAATGTGTACATATATGTGAGTAAATATATGTATATATATATTGCGTGCATATATGAATATTGCAAGTAAAGATATTTACTTTTGCCAAATCTATAAACCGATTATACTCGTTAGATGGCAGCACACATGAGCTGTTTCCACATCAGTTGCCATATAACGTTACTTACGTTACTGTACTAAAACTATGGAAACAAAAGTGAAACATCCTTTATGACATACGTAAGTTGATTTCAAGGAATCAATAAATTCGAATACTATAGCTTTGGTTTCTATCTGGCTGTTGTAGTATAAATAATATCGCTTGTAGGGTTTGATTATTTTGCTGCTAGCGCTTATCTCTTTGTGATCTCTGTATGACTAAATATTTATCTTATAGTGATGTAATAAATGCGCATAATATTTTTTTTCATCCATGGAATATTAATAAATTTAATTTTTTTTTTTTTTAAATTATATTTTTACAACTTCAATAATTATACTTTATATTAAAACTTAAACATGAAATACAGTGCAGATGTTACATAGCTTCTGACATAATAATTAAAAAACACTGTAGCGATTTAATTAACTATTTTCTGGTTCTGAGGACATGAAACAGAAATAAATAGCAATTATTTCTTGTCAACTTATAAAATCTAAAAACACTTTTAAAAATATCTGTAACAATTATCTGAGATAACATTTGTATATTTTTTGCTCAACTACACTGATTTGAAAGTGTTCGCTTGTAAAATTTAACACTATATACGACATCTAGTCATGCAGTAGTAACATGGCAAGAGGAAGCAGGTATCAAAATAAATTCCAACAGCAAGCGGTCAACCATAAATTGGCACACTTAAAACATGTTCACAATAAATTATGGTGACATACTGCCACATGGCATTATACGCGTCCAACAAGAATCCTCATGTAGTAAATGCAATTTTAACTTTGGCTCTAGATGTAATACTCGTAAACTGTCGCATTTCGTTACGGAAGTGGAAGTGAAAAATAACATTTTTGCTTCTAGTCAGCTTTCTAGTCAGACAATCGGAACAGCAGAAAATTTCATATTTCAGCATGTGCAATTGACCTCCATTTTCTCACTTGACATTAATGGTAATCATTAATGAATACAATGATTATATGTCTATGTAGGTTTATTTAGAGGAACTATTCATTTTTTTCATATTTTTGTTGGCTATAGTCAATCATTATAGTCTTTATCAATCATTATAATATAAATAAATTATTTTAACACTATTAGTAACTATTGATATAAGACTTGATATTTTATTGCTATACTTTATTAAATTTAGGTAACTTCACATAACAGTATTAAAGATTTTATCCGACTATATGAAATTATTTATAATTTAAACAGCATTATATGAAATTATTTATAATTTTATATATATAATAACATATTGTACACAGTTTGCATTGTACACAGTCATGTATACACATATATACTATACATATCTATACATATATTATATCTGATTATGATTATATTCGCTTATCATATTAATTATTAACACTAATTTTCATTTTAATTATAATTTATAGTCATATATAGTTACCATATTAATTATAAGCGATACTTATATATAATTGAACTGCATCATTTCATCCCAGTTG